TCCTGGTTCTAATTGGACCTCCTGGTTCTGGCTGGACCTCCTGGTTCTGACTGGACCTCCTGGTTCTAATTGGACCTCCTGGTTCTAATTGGACCTCCTGGTTCTGGCTGGACCTCCTGGTTCTAATTGGACCTCCTGGTTCTAATTGGACCTCCTGGTTCTGGCTGGACCTCCTGGTTCTAATTGGACCTCCTGGTTCTAATTGGACCTCCTGGTTCTAATTGGACCTCCTGGTTCTGGCTGGACCTCCTGGTTCTAATTGGACCTCCTGGTTCTGGCTGGACCTCCTGGTTCTAATTGGACCTCCTGGTTCTAATTGGACCTCCTGGTTCTGGCTGGACCTCCTGGTTCTAATTGGACCTCCTGGTTCTAATTGGACCTCCTGGTTCTGGCTGGACCTCCTGGTTCTAATTGGACCTCCTGGTTCTAATTGGACCTCCTGGTTCTGGCTGGACCTCCTGGTTCTAATTGGACCTCCTGGTTCTAATTGGACCTCCTGGTTCTGGCTGGACCTCCTGGTTCTAATTGGACCTCCTGGTTCTAATTGGACCTCCTGGTTCTGACTGGACTTCCTCCTGGTTCTGACTGGACCTCCTGGTTCTAAATGGACCTCCTGGTTCTAATTGGACCTCCTGGTTCTAATTGGACCTCCTGGTTCTGGCTGGACCTCCTGGTTCTGACTGGACCTCCTGGTTCTGGCTGGACCTCCTGGTTCTAAATGGATCTCCTGGTTCTAATTGGACCTCCTGGTTCTAATTGGACCTCCTGGTTCTGGCTGGACCTCCTGGTTCTGGCTGGACCTCCTGGTTCTAATTGGACCTCCTGGTTCTGGCTGGACCTCCTGGTTCTAATTGGACCTCATGGTTCTGGCTGGACCTCCTGGTTCTGACTGGACCTCCTGGTTCTAATTGGACCTCCTGGTTCTAATTGGACCTCCTGGTTCTGGCTGGACCTCCTGGTTCTGACTGGACCTCCTGGTTCTAATTGGACCTCCTGGTTCTAATTGGACCTCCTGGTTCTAATTGGACCTCCTGGTTCTGGCTGGACCTCCTGGTTCTAATTGGACCTCCTGGTTCTAATTGGACCTCCTGGTTCTAATTGGACCTCCTGGTTCTGGCTGGACCTCCTGGTTCTAATTGGACCTCCTGGTTCTAATTGGACCTCCTGGTTCTGGCTGGACCTCCTGGTTCTAATTGGACCTCCTGGTTCTGATTGGACCTCCTGGTTCTGGCTGGACCTCCTGGTTCTAATTGGACCTCCTGGTTCTAATTGGACCTCCTGGTTCTGGCTGGACCTCCTGGTTCTAATTGGACCTCCTGGTTCTAATTGGACCTCCTGGTTCTGACTGGACTTCCTCCTGGTTCTGACTGGACCTCCTGGTTCTAAATGGACCTCCTGGTTCTAATTGGACCTCCTGGTTCTAATTGGACCTCCTGGTTCTAATTGGACCTCCTGGTTCTGACTGGACCTCCTGGTTCTGGCTGGACCTCCTGGTTCTAAATGGATCTCCTGGTTCTAATTGGACCTCCTGGTTCTAATTGGACCTCCTGGTTCTGGCTGGACCTCCTGGTTCTAATTGGACCTCCTGGTTCTGGCTGGACCTCCTGGTTCTAATTGGACCTCATGGTTCTGGCTGGACCTCCTGGTTCTGACTGGACCTCCTGGTTCTAATTGGACCTCCTGGTTCTAATTGGACCTCCTGGTTCTGGCTGGACCTCCTGGTTCTAATTGGACCTCCTGGTTCTAATTGGACCTCCTGGTTCTGGCTGGACCTCCTGGTTCTAATTGGACCTCCTGGTTCTAATTGGACCTCCTGGTTCTGACTGGACCTCCTGGTTCTGACTGGACCTCCTGGTTCTAATTGGACCTCCTGGTTCTAATTGGACCTCCTGGTTCTGGCTGGACCTCCTGGTTCTAATTGGACCTCCTGGTTCTAATTGGACCTCCTGGTTCTGGCTGGACCTCCTGGTTCTGGCTGGACCTCCTGGTTCTAATTGGACCTCCTGGTTCTAATTGGACCTCCTTGGTTCTGGCTGGACCTCCTGGTTCTAATTGGACCTCCTGGTTCTAATTGGACCTCCTGGTTCTGGCTGGACCTCCTGGTTCTAATTGGACCTCCTGGTTCTGGCTGGACCTCCTGGTTCTAATTGGACCTCCTGGTTCTGACTGGACCTCCCGGTTCTAATTGGACCTCCTGGTTCTAATTGGACCTCCTGGTTCTGGCTGGACCTCCTGGTTCTAATTGGACCTCCTGGTTCTAATTGGACCTCCTTGGTTCTGGCTGGACCTCCTGGTTCTGGCTGGACCTCCTGGTTCTAATTGGACCTCCTGGTTCTGGCTGGACCTCCTGGTTCTAATTGGACCTCCTGGTTCTGGCTGGACCTCCTGGTTCTGACTGGACCTCCTGGTTCTAATTGGACCTCCTGGTTCTAATTGGACCTCCTGGTTCTGGCTGGACCTCCTGGTTCTAATTGGACCTCCTGGTTCTGGCTGGACCTCCTGGTTCTAATTGGACCTCCTGGTTCTAATTGGACCTCCTGGTTCTGGCTGGACCTCCTGGTTCTGGCTGGACCTCCTGGTTCTAATTGGACCTCCTGGTTCTGGCTGGACCTCCTGGTTCTAATTGGACCTCCTGGTTCTGGCTGGACCTCCTGGTTCTGACTGGACCTCCTGGTTCTAATTGGACCTCCTGGTTCTAATTGGACCTCCTGGTTCTGGCTGGACCTCCTGGTTCTGACTGGACCTCCTGGTTCTAATTGGACCTCCTGGTTCTAATTGGACCTCCTGGTTCTAATTGGACCTCCTGGTTCTGACTGGACCTCCTGGTTCTGACTGGACCTCCTGGTTCTAATTGGACCTCCTGGTTCTAATTGGACCTCCTGGTTCTGGCTGGACCTCCTGGTTCTAATTGGACCTCCTGGTTCTAATTGGACCTCCTGGTTCTGGCTGGACCTCCTGGTTCTGGCTGGACCTCCTGGTTCTAATTGGACCTCCTGGTTCTGGCTGGACCTCCTGGTTCTAATTGGACCTCCTGGTTCTAATTGGACCTCCTGGTTCTGGCTGGACCTCCTGGTTCTAATTGGACCTCCTGGTTCTGGCTGGACCTCCTGGTTCTAATTGGACCTCCTGGTTCTGACTGGACCTCCCGGTTCTAATTGGACCTCCTGGTTCTAATTGGACCTCCTGGTTCTGGCTGGACCTCCTGGTTCTAATTGGACCTCCTGGTTCTAATTGGACCTCCTTGGTTCTGGCTGGACCTCCTGGTTCTGGCTGGACCTCCTGGTTCTAATTGGACCTCCTGGTTCTGGCTGGACCTCCTGGTTCTAATTGGACCTCCTGGTTCTGGCTGGACCTCCTGGTTCTGACTGGACCTCCTGGTTCTAATTGGACCTCCTGGTTCTAATTGGACCTCCTGGTTCTAATTGGACCTCCTGGTTCTGGCTGGACCTCCTGGTTCTAATTGGACCTCCTGGTTCTGGCTGGACCTCCTGGTTCTGGCTGGACCTCCTGGTTCTAATTGGACCTCCTGGTTCTAATTGGACCTCCTGGTTCTGGCTGGACCTCCTGGTTCTAATTGGACCTCCTGGTTCTGGCTGGACCTCCTGGTTCTGACTGGACCTCCTGGTTCTAATTGGACCTCCTGGTTCTAATTGGACCTCCTGGTTCTGGCTGGACCTCCTGGTTCTGACTGGACCTCCTGGTTCTAATTGGACCTCCTGGTTCTAATTGGACCTCCTGGTTCTAATTGGACCTCCTGGTTCTGGCTGGACCTCCTGGTTCTGACTGGACCTCCTGGTTCTAATTGGACCTCCTGGTTCTAATTGGACCTCCTGGTTCTGGCTGGACCTCCTGGTTCTGACTGGACCTCCTGGTTCTAATTGGACCTCCTGGTTCTAATTGGACCTCCTGGTTCTAATTGGACCTCCTGGTTCTGGCTGGACCTCCTGGTTCTAATTGGACCTCCTGGTTCTAATTGGACCTCCTGGTTCTAATTGGACCTCCTGGTTCTGGCTGGACCTCCTGGTTCTGGCTGGACCTCCTGGTTCTAATTGGACCTCCTGGTTCTAATTGGACCTCCTGGTTCTGGCTGGACCTCCTGGTTCTGACTGGACCTCCTGGTTCTAATTGGACCTCCTGGTTCTAATTGGACCTCCTGGTTCTAATTGGACCTCCTGGTTCTAATTGGACCTCCTGGTTCTGGCTGGACCTCCTGGTTCTAATTGGACCTCCTGGTTCTAATTGGACCTCCTGGTTCTGGCTGGACCTCCTGGTTCTAATTGGACCTCCTGGTTCTGGCTGGACCTCCTGGTTCTAATTGGACCTCCTGGTTCTGGCTGGACCTCCTGGTTCTAATTGGACCTCCTGGTTCTAATTGGACCTCCTGGTTCTGGCTGGACCTCCTGGTTCTAATTGGACCTCCTGGTTCTAATTGGACCTCCTGGTTCTGGCTGGACCTCCTGGTTCTAATTGGACCTCCTGGTTCTAATTGGACCTCCTGGTTCTGATTGGACCTCATTAACATGCTCCCTGCAGCTGAACTGGGTCATCCCTCAACAGCGTCCACTCCGCCCCACCTGATTGGACCCACATGACATCATCAGACCCAGATCCTCTCCCATTGGCTGCAGATGATGTCATCAGTCCCAGGAAGACCCGCCTCCAGATTCTCCTCTCTATGTTTACATAACCTTTCTGCTGCGCTGCCAGAATCCCACCATCCGTCCAACTGGATCCAGAACCGGCGGCTCGGGTCGCTGCGGTTCATCCAGCCGGTCGGTCAGAACCAGAACCAGAACCGCGCCGCTTTGTCTGACATCAGAACCAGGTCAGGTGACCTTTATCAGGGTTCTGACAGCCACCAAAGGTCCGCTCTGTTCTGGACCCGCAGCAGAACGGCTCCTTTAATCTGTTCTGACCCGAATGTGGCGGCGACAGAACCGTCCGCATGCTGGAGTTCTGCTGCGGGCTCAGAACCGCCAGGACGGATCTGGAACACTAACCTGCAGCTGTCCAGGTCCGAGTCTCTGCTCAGCAGGCTCCTGAGGGACCAGCGGGACCGCCGGCTGGGGGAGGGGCTCCGGGACCAGGACCGGGCCGGCGGCAGGAGCAGGACCTGGGAAGGACTGTCCTCCCTCTGCCTCTCTGAGGGGGCGTGGCGGCGCCGCCGGGCCGGGCCCCTCTGCACAGACTCCACATCAAACGTCGGAGTTTGGGCCGGTTCCTCCTGCCTCCTCTTGGTTCTGGTCCGGCTGCGGTGGGACTGGCTGAGCGGGCCGGAGCGCGGCGGCCCGGGGCTGGGGGAGCGGGACCAGGACTCCGTGTCCGAGGACGGCGGCAGGACGGTCAGGGTCGGTACCGGGATGGGCTGGGTCAGAGTGGCGCTCTGGGTTCTGACCCGGGAGGACGTGGTCATCTTCTGGCTCTCTGAGTCCCTAACGAGCCGCCGGGTCCGATTCAGTCATGGCGACGCTGCTTCTGATGAAAGCAGAGAGCAACCTGCCGGCGCCGATCCGTTGGGCCGCATTTCCTGTCAGGCTGAAACGGTTTGGCGGCCAGAAGCACAGAGCAGAAGAACGAGGCAGAGGTTCCGTCACAGCGGACCCGGCAGAACGACGCTCTCTGGATCAGAACATCCCTCCAGCCGCCATCTGCCTCAGCATCGCTCCCAGAACGCAGTCCTTTCCTCCCGCAGCGCGGGTCAGAACTTCAGGAGCGTCTCTGCGCCATCCGACCCGTTTGGAGGAGCTGAAGGCAGAAAGCGATCAAAGTCTACCTGAGGAGTGGAGAGAGCAGAGGCTGGGTGACGGTTCTCCTTCTGCGCCTCCCCCCGCCGCCATCATGTGACGGCCATGTTGATTAGAGGCCGTTATGCTGCAGACCTGATCAATACGCCCCATTCAGAGCGGAGCGCCTCGTCTGCTGCTCCGGTTCTGCTTTTTAATCAAAGCTTTCTGCTAATCAGGATCTTATCAAACATTAAAACTTTATTTAAACTTTAGACCGAGAGGAAGAATAAAAACAAACAGAATTCATCAAAAACAGAAAAATAAATTAAAATGAGTTTATTTGAGCAGGAAAAGCAGACGATCAGCCAATAGGATGAAGGCAAATTATTTTTCCTGCTCAAATCAGGGAAATTAAAATCCCTCAGGAAAAGATTCTGATGTTTTCCAGTCTGAGAGGAAACCAGGAGCCTCATGGTGTTTGGTTCCACGCCGCGCCCCGCCCACCCGAGAGCTGCTGGTGGATAAAACCATCAAACATCCAGAAATGAAGCCGTCACAGAGGAACCGTTCAACCCGTTTTAATCAGAACCCTCCGGCTGGACGTCATTGTGGCTTTGATGTTTAGACGCCGCCGTGACCTCAGCGGCGCTCATGGCCCTGACCCAACAAACACCAGGCATGTTCGCCTGAAACCGACCGGAGAGACCGCAGCTCCACAATGACCCAAAAGATCTGGATCAGTCAGAACTGATCCGGAGAGAGAAGGACCATTCCAAGGTTCTGTTCTGGTTCTGGCTGCTGGGACCATTTCAGACCGGCAGACGTTACCCTCCATGGATCTGTTCTGGTACCAGCAGACGGTTCCGGACCCTCGGTTCTGGGTACGAGAAACCGGCCCGTTTCTCCATCACCACCTGTTCTAGTGAGAAGCCAGAGGAAGTTCTGGATGAAGCAGAGTTCGCTCTACACAATGCTGCCCCTCCCCAACCTGTTGCTGGCACAGGCCACTCATCACTCCATCCACCCGCTTAGTTTCTCCAGCTGTCAGAACCTCCAGCTTTGGGTCAAAGTTCTGCTAACCTCGGCGTTAAAAGGAAAAGTTTGGTCAAACTCAGAATCCAAACGTCTGAAAGTTCTTTAAATCTGAAATGATTCAATAAATGATCAGCGTGTTTTTTTTCACTTTTACCCGATGTATTCCAGCATCCAGCTGCCATGCACGTGGGCATTGTCAGTTTCACTATAGCTCTGGTGAATTTCAATGGTGAAGTCCTCTGGAAATCTTCAATAATTGTTGTTGATTGCAGATGTGTCTAGTAGTTCCCATTGATTTAGCTTGGAAAGCGGGGAGAATGGCGCTAGGCTTACCGCACCGTGACGTCACTGCTGGAAGATGGCAGGAGGGAGGGGCTACTATATTTGGGCAAAAATGGCCGCTCCCAGACTCAGTGATCGTGATGAAAACATTATTTTACTGATTAACGCTAAATGCATTAAATCACTGCGAACATATTAGTTTAGGTATCAATAATGATCCATTGATTATTCCTGCTGACCGACTTTTCCTTTAAAATCTAAACTAAAACAGTTTGGTTAAAAAAATAAACTTTAAAACTTGAGTTTTATTTTCCCCCAGCAGAGCAGAGGTGAAATGGACTCTGGTCCTGCTGGAGGCGGCTCCTGATCTCTGGACTCGATAATTAGAAATAATCGACTGTATTTTTTATTTAATTATCCTAAATTAAGCGTTAACTCAGGATCAGCTTTTCTAAGGAGCCGATCTGGGAGAACATCTGATGATTTTCTGATCGGTGGCATCAGGAGGACGATCTGATCATCTGACCCCAGAAGGTCTCTACTGACAGACACCAGAGGGGCACAAAGCAGCGTAGACACAGATCCATCCATCCATTCATCCTTCCATCCTCCCTTCCTTCCTTCCTCCCTTCCATCCATCCTTCCATCTATCCATCCTTCCTTCCATCCATCCATCCATTCATCCTCCCTTCCATCCATCCTTCCCTCCTTCCATCCTTCCTTCCATCCATCCATCCATTCATCCTCCCTTCCATCCATCCTTCCCTCCTTCCATCCTTCCCTCCTTCCATCCATCCTTCCCTCCTTCCATCCTTCCCTCCTTCCATCCATCCTTCCCTCCTTCCATCCATCCATCCTTCCTTCCTTCCTCCCTTCCATCCATCCTTCCCTCCTTCCATCCATCCATTCATCCTTCCTTCCTTCCTTCCTCCCTTCCATTCATCCTTCCTTCCTTCCTTCCATCCATCCTTCCTTCCTTCCTTCCTTCCTTCCTCTCTTCCATCCTCTCTTCCATCCTTCCTTCCATCCATCCATCCTTCCTTCCTTCCTTCCTTCCATCCTTCCTTCCTTCCTTCCTCTCTTCCATCCTCTCTTCCATCCTTCCTTCCTTCCTTCCACCCATCCTTCCTTCCATCTATCCATACTTCCTTCCTTCCATCCATCCATCCTTCCTTCTTTCCTTCCATCTATCCATCCTTCCTTCCATCCATCCTTCCTCCCTTCCATCCTTCCATCCACCCTTCCTTCTTTCCTTCCATCCATCCTTCCTTCCATCTATCCATACTTCCTTCCTTCCATACTTCCTTCCTTCCATCCTTCCTTCCTTCCATCCATCCTTCCATCCTTCCTTTCATCCATCCTTCCTTCCTTCCATCCTTCCATCCATCCTCCACCCATCCATCCTTCCTTCCTTCCTTCCTTCTATCCATCCTTCCTTCCATCCATCCTTCCTTCCTTCCATCTATCTATCCTTCCTTCCATCCTTCCATCCATCCTTCCATCCATCCTTCCATCTATCTATCCTTCCTTCCATCTATCCTTCCTTCCATCCTTCCTTCCTTCCTTCCTCTCAGCAGCTCAAACACTTCAGAACCACCAGATTTATTAACATTTCCTCCTTTTCTCCGTCTGCATGTAAATATTTAGCTAATTCTCCAAACTTTGCATATTTTCTTTGAATCTGGAAACTTCTTGTGCAGCCGATCTGTTTCTGTTTTTCTATCTTTAGCTGCTTCTACTCTCCTTCCACTGCAGCTGAGGATGAAAGCTGACATGTTTCCAGCTGATCCTCACTGATCCACATCCTGAAGATCTAACCGGGTCTGATGAGGACCAGAACCAGGAGACCCAGGGACCAGAACCTGGAACTTTCCGCTCCAGCCTGAAGTTCTTACCTCCCATTGGAAGAGGTTCCTGCGGTTCCACCGTCCTGTTCGGCCTCGAAAACCAGCCGGGTCACGGTCCGGGAGGCGATGCTGAAATCCACTTTCTCACAGGAACACATCAACATTCTCAGCGGGAGGATGAGGAGGAGCAGGAGGAGCAGCAGGAGGAGCAGCTGCTAATGGCTCCTAGCCGGCTAGCGGCGGCTCCCCGCGGACCCCGAAGGCCCCAAACCCCGACCAGCAGCCGGGTTCAGCTTCCAGCAGGACCGGCAGCTTCCATCTCCACCTCCCAGAAACACGCGATCCGCTGCGGAGGGTCAGACACCGAGCTCCGCCTGGCTGGAGCCGAACGGGCCGCTTTACAGAAGCCAACAAACGCGCTTTGATCGGAAAGTGAAAAAGAACCAAGTCAGTTAACCGGACCGAACCAAGAGAGTGGGGGGGACGAACCCGACCGAACCGGACCGAACCTGACACTGCTTGAATCCAGCCGGGGGGGGGATGACCAAATATCTCACCCAGAATTATACTAGAAAGTAATATTTTAGATAATCAACGGATAAAAATGATAATTATTCACAAAAATGGACTAAACCTTCGGGGGAAATAAATTGAACCCCCCCCCCCCCGCAAAACTTTTTGGTACATTCCGGGAAAATAACTGTACCGAGGATGTGGGGAGAGGAAGGGGGGGTTATTTCACGCAAAAATACAGACAGCAGCTTCAGATCAGCTTCAAATCAGCTTCAAATTAACTTCAGATCAGCTTCAAATTAGCGGCAAATTAGCGGTAAAACATAAACTATCTGAGTATTTAAGAAAGGAAACGTGTTTGGCTCCAAACACAGTGTTTCAAAAACTTATATTTTGCCTTTATAATTTTTTTCTCGTCCACATCAAAGCCACAATGAGCAGATAAATTATATTTCTTTACATTCGAGTTGATTTTTAAGGTAGAAAAGGTTCAGCTCCTGTTAATCAACAGAGCTTTGGCGACATCTAGCGTCCAATCAGCGTCTGTGCAGCAGGCATTGATTTCCTCTCAGTCTGTGAACAAAACCTGATTTATGCGTTTATTGAAAAGCTTTTCAGCGCAAAACTTCCTGTAATCGCGATGAAAGACTCTGCTGATCCTCAGGGTTAAGTGTGTGAAGCAAAGTAAAGACCCACCTGCTTCCTGCTGCTGCATTGCTTCATCTGATCCCACAGATTCCCACCAGAAGGAGATCAGATGTCTTCAGCTGGATATAAACAGCTGACGGAGCTGAAGGTAGGTCACCTTGGCTGCAGCTGAAAATAAAGACACGTCACTCCGTGTAATGTCAATAATGCACACGTCAATATGCAGAGATCATTGATGTAATTTTGTATAAGAGGAGGAGGCGTTACTTTGTATCAGTTTGAAACACATATTTATATCGTTTAGGATGTTTTTAGTTTCAGAGAGGTAGTTCTGTTTATTTGGTTTGAGTCCAGCTCTAAATCAGAGCCCAGGATGAAGCTGTTAAATACTCTGCTTCACTCATTATGAATAAAACAACACGGTTTGATCCAGCTTGGCTTCAGAACAAATGTTTCTGGACTTTAATAGAACTTATTCTTCTCAGAGGACCAAAGTTTACACGACATTCACTCACTATGATTGATGTTACAATTCTGGCAGAAACCTGCAGAATGTGATCCATATCCCTTAGCTTCAGGCTAACTTTTAATGATTGAAATAATAATAATAATAATAATAGTAATAATAGTAATAATAATAATACAAGGTGAGGAAATTCAAAGTGCAGAAACCAATATTTGTTTTTATCTGGTTGTTTTCTGTTCAGAGCAGCTTTTAACATATTTTATTCTGGTTTGCAGCTGGTTTGAGTATGTTGGTGAGGCAGCTCCATCAGGAGCCTCAAACATGTTTGCTCGCTTTCAGTTCATAAAAAAAAAAATACAAATTTTTTATTGTTTCTAAATTAATATAAAAGAATTCACCTTTATTGTCAAGTACAGAGCAATGAAATTCCCTCTCTGCATTTAACCCCTCCCCTTTGGGAGCAGTGGGCTGCCACTGTGCGGCCCCCGGGGAGCAGTGGGGGTCTTGCTCAGACGGTGGGAGTTGAACTCAGAACCTCTGGAATCCAAGATCAATGCTCTAACCACCAGACCAACACCCCCCTAATATAAGACAAAACTCTGCAGCACATTTATAGATATTTTAACCAGTTTTTTTAATTATTCTTAGAAGAGCAACTTAGTTTCACAACTAGAAGAAATAAAAAAATATATTTATCACAATATTTAAGTATGTTGGCTTAGATTTCTGTGATTTTCTAACTATTTGCATCTTTATTTGCATATTTCACTGTTCTAAACAAAAGCTCAAACTGCTTCAGATAAATACCTGCATGTTTCCTTCAGATTTACCCTTTAATTTTTTATATTTAAATCCAGAGGAGAGGAAATGTTGCTATAAGATCCAAATGTCCGTCTGAAGGTGAAATCCACAGCCATGCAGACATCAGAATCTGTGATCTTAGCGCCTACCTGCCTGTTAGGTGTGCTTTAAACTCAGCAGCAAAGCGTTAAAACATCCCAGAGCGCCTCCTGCCTGTGATGATCCGGGAAGCGGCGCTCCCCTGCAGCTCCGGGCGGCCGGGCGATGAGCAGCAGCAGCAGCAGCAGGAAACTGGATCCCTGCTAAAAATAAAGGAAACAGCAGCAGAGAGGAGAGGAAGGAGCAGCCGGACTCTGTCCACTGAACAAATGCATGGAGGCTTTATCACATGACTGCATTGCCTTGACGCCCCCCTCCCCCCCATGTTTCTGCTTTCTGAGGTCGGGGGGGGGGGGGGGGGCAGGGTCTGTCCATGCTTCACCCAAAGCACCACAAACACAGACGTGTCTCCTCTCACCACATCCATCACCTCAGCAGACATGTTTCTGTCAGCAGACGCTGCCGGGCCTTCAGACAGGCTCCCTGACCCCCCCTGGGTCCTGGTGGTCCTGATACCAGGCTCCCTGACCCCCTCACGGTCCTGGTGGTCCTGATACCAGGCTCCCTGACCCCCCCTGGGTCCTGGTGGTCCTGATACCAGGCTCCCTGACCCCCCCTGGGTCCTGATGGTCCTGATACCAGGCTCCCTGACCCCCTCACGGTCCTGGTGGTCCTGATACCAGGCTCCCTGACCCCCCCTGGGTCCTGGTGGTCCTGATACCAGGCTCCCTGACCCCCCCTGGGTCCTGATGGTCCTGATACCAGGCTCCCTGACCCCCCCTGGGTCCTGGTGGTCCTGATACCAGGCTCCCTGACCCCCCCTGGGTCCTGGTGGTCCTGATACCAGGCTCCCTGACCCCCCCTGGGTCCTGATGGTCCTGATACCAGGCTCCCTGACCCCCTCACGGTCCTGGTGGTCCTGATACCAGGCTCCCTGACCCCCCCTGGGTCCTGATGGTCCTGATACCAGGCTCCCTGACCCCCTCACGGTCCTGGTGGTCCTGATACCAGGCTCCCTGACCCCCCCTGGGTCCTGATGGTCCTGATACCAGGCTCCCTGACCCCCTCACGGTCCTGGTGGTCCTGATACCAGGCTCCCTGACCCCCTCACGGTCCTGATACCAGAACTGATAAGATCTGGAATAAAAAACACAAAACAGCAACTCAGCTCAGCGGACTGAAAACAAAGTCTATAAAATAAACTTTAAAGTTCCTTATTCTGCATAAAGAATTTAGCCTCAAACTTCTGCTAAATCTCCCATTTTTTTATCCTCTAGATGAACCAGGATCACATTTCTTTTCTATCCAAACTTATTCGATCCCTTCAACATTTTAAACATTTATTTCTTCATGATAAATATTGAAATCAGCTCTATTTGCTCTACATCTACCTGTCATCTCTAATAATCAGGCTGTTCCCTGTTAGAGCTGCTGCAGAAATAATCGCTCAGATTATCCATGATTCATTGATTATTGAATTAATCCTCAACTAACTTCGTCTATCGATCATTAGCTGTTTTATAAAGAATAATTCATCTCATTTGCAGAAACAGGTCAGAGCAGATTTACACAAAACTGTGTGAAAAAGAAAATAACCTGGATGGATGGATGTGAGATGAAAAGCATTTGTTAATAAAAAAAAATATTAATCCAGAACTTTTAAATACAGAGTTTTAGATTTCACTGATAAAAAACAACAACAACAACAAAAATGTATGGATGATATAAAATATTATTCAAAACCATCCATCAGCTGCAGCCCTGGATGCTGAAACCTGCTTCTGCTCTTTTTATCAAGGCGTCGACCATATTTGATGGTTTTAAGTTCTGGTTCTGTCTGATGGAGCTGGATGTAAATCCTCTGTCTGCTGTCAGTCTGTCCGTTCATGTGACTGCTGGACAGAAAGAAGAGCCGGACATAGAAACGGTGGAGAGTTTCTAATCCCTGGATGTTCACCTCCATAATAAACTGGACTCCTTCTGTAGAAGGAGGCCCAGAGCCGCCTCCCTCCTCCTCCTGAGGCGGCTGAGCTCCTCTGCAGTGAGCGGCTCCTGCTTCAAACCTTCTCTGACTCTGTGGAGGCATTAGCCCTCCTCTACGCTGTGGTTTGCTGGGCCCCTGGCAGCGCAGAGCAGGACAGAAAGAGACGTTTCTGTCCTCGGCTGCAGTCTGGACTCAGTGGCTGAGAGGAGGAGCTGTCCAAGCTTCCATCCATCATGGACGCCACCTTCCACCCTCTGCAGCAGACTGGAGAGGAGCTGAGCAGCTCCTTTAGTCAGAGACTTTTACAGCCTGGTTGGAAAAAGCAGCGCTACAGCAGGTCCTTCATCCCTGCTGCAATGAGACGCTACAATGAGACGCTACAACCACAATAACTGCTGCGATGGAGAATAATTACTATTTAATACCCTGAGCAATAACTATAAATATAAATATCCATAGAAACACCCGGTGATATATAATAATCCTACTATCCTAATATAAAAAACACTGTCTTATGTGGACGCACTGTATATCCTGTATATATCCCATCATGCACCTTTTTCTTCCTTTGCCACCTTCTTCTTCTCCTGTGACTATTTGAGCTGATGGAACGAGGAAGTTCAGCCACTGTGAGATCAATAAAATCAATCAATCAATCAATCAATCAATAATGCATTTATACATCCCACACATCTATGTTGACATTTACAGGTTATATTAGCATTATTTAACTGTTGCAATTGGAGCATCAAACTGTAACTGAATGAAAAACAAAAAACAAAGAGTTTGTTGTTTTTTAACTAAATTAAAATTAATTTTTTTCTGTCACTAAATCCACAAAAACTGATCTATAGAGTCCGGCTTCTGTTACCGGCCGATAATTAGGTCATAATATTTAGTATTCATTGATTTCCTCGCATTAATGTGTGATGATGTCACAGCCTGTCTGAA